TTAAATAAAATATGTATGTATATTCATGATACACATAATTAACATAAGGAGTGTATCATAACCGTCAGATAACATGAATTTAAGTATTTTTGTTTTCTGATCATCTATTTATTCTACTTTTTCTTGTTTGTATTCAATTGGCTTCTGATTTTTTTAGTCCCTTGCTCAGAAGGAAAGGTTGTTGGGCTTGGATAGCTCTTCTCCTGAACCATCAAAAGATAAATAGCAAAAGTTCCTGTAGCAAATCAGACCTGTAAACTGCTGCAGAACCCTTAGATGAAGTCATCTTGTTTAGTCAATAATGTGTAATCCTGTGGGAAAATATGTCGCATGGCTTAAGAATCGAAAGCATTTCTCAGCAGCTGCATTCAGCTGCCAGAACCAGGACAATACTACAGATGTGCTGGCTCCTTTGAGGCAGGCGCCCAGGAGTTAGAGGAGACCCAACTTCCCTATGGTTGGAGGGTTTTTTGGAGGCAACTATAAGTAGAGATTTAGCAGCGAAAATGCTGGGAAATAGTTCTGGCCAGCAGTCTCAAAAGAGGAGAAATGTGATGCAACTATTAAAATAAAAACAAAAGCAGAATTAATTTTCTTTGTTTCTGTAGTTTCACTTTGATGTCTGCAGAGCAGCCGTATGAGCTGTTGTACAGGTTCCAGCGGCTGTCATGCTCAGGAAGTGGTTAAGCCAAATATAGAAGCGCCACTGAAAGAGTAAGCACTCCGAGAAGGGACTTGGAGATATATAGGAAGAAGAAAAGAGAGTCGAGAAACTAAATACAGAGGAGGCAGTGGGGTCTGTGGATAAACGGTGGGGCCTGAAATCGTTCAGCTCCAGGTCGTTCTCCCAGTAGCTGCAGTATCAAGTCACGTGCTATTAAGAGCTCAAGTTTGTGTTAGGTCCATTTTGCACACCTGAAGGTAAGGTTGCCTTCGGTCTGATATCACTTCAAACACATTTGCCAAAGGGGCAAGAGACAAGGTGGTGGACGATGCCCTTTCTGTCCCCAAAGGGGGACTTCCTGGGTGGAGGTAGCAGGACGCTGCTGGTATGGTCACACACGCATCCACCGAGCCACCTTTGTAAGGGGTGATGCCAGCTTCCCCTGCTGTCAGAAATACGACGCTCCTCTGATCTGCTGTGGGATGTGACAGCACTAGCTTGCAAGAGAGAGGACTTTAGTGGGGAGCTACTGCAGCTGTTGTCTTCATCTAATGTGTTCTCCCTCAACAAGAGGTTACTGGTCCAGAAATAATTTTGCTCCTACTTAGCTCCTCAAGCCAACCACTTCTAACACAAAACTGCCAATCCCTAAAAAACCTCATCCGACTAGGAGAAAAAGCATCATCTTTGTTCTGTGGCTGGCTCCTTGACTAAGAAAGCCCAACAGCCCATCACTTCAGCGTGCTGTAATTCCTGCTAATGCTGTAATTGCTCCTGCATCCTTCCCCACCTGGACTCTATTAGCTGTGGCTGATCTTCACCTACTCATGGGCTGATTCATCTCAAGCTGATGAAAATTGCCTACTGGCCTCAATGGAATGATAATTTGGGGTTATTTCTTCCACCTGGCTGCTGGTTTTCCCAAGGTTGTAAACAATCCCCCACCTGCAGGTGCCCATC